CAAAAAATGATGCTCGAACATGCCCTAGTCAAAGTTGATAATTATTTTTATTTACATATTTTATGAGACATACAACTCTTCAACCACAAATTTTTATCAAAATCTACTAATTTTCATTTATACCAAACAATGGCTTAATTTTAAACTACAAAACAAATAAAGTGAAATTACTACAAAAATAATAATAATAAGGTTTTAAAATTAGTTAATTTTAACCACGTGGAACCTAAACCAAAAAGGCGCTAAAAAATGAGAACAAGTTACGAGTTAACTCGGCAAAATTGGGTATAAATAGTATATATTTACCGCAATTTCTATTTCTAGTTTAAATCAAATTCCCAACAATAATGTCAGAATCGAGCTTGTCTCAACGAGTAAAGTTAATTAGCTAAATTAATGAAAATGAATGAATTATGCTGGATATATGAATGAAAGTATAAATAGTATATATTTTCAGGTGTTGCTCTCGAATTTTTCTGATCTGCTTTACTTTTCTGATTTGATTTGGATTTGAATGGTAAAGTTTAGTTAAATTAATGAAAATGAATGAATTCTGCTAGATATATGAATGAATGTATAAATAGTATATAATTTCAGGTGTTGCTCTTTGGATTTGAACTTCAGCCGTAAATTGATTGTATTTTGCTTTATTTTTTTAATTAATGAACCTTCTCAGGCAAATGCCTTCAGTCCTAGGTGGAGAGGATTGACTTCAATTGGAAAAAAATTATGGGAAAAGAATGAAAAAATATACTGTGAAATGTTGAATTTCTTGAGCGGAGTACACGGCAAACTTGACAAACGCCCCACTGAAGAGTTTGTACTTCCTGATGCGGTGGACTTCATTGTCGTCACGTTGCCATGGCGAAATAAAAGGAAATAAAAACTAACATGTAAATAAGGCAGTGACACAAATTTTGAAGGTGTAGAGTGTCGGGGTACTAAACTTTTACTTTTAGTAGATGTTACCTGTATGAATTTTGTGTAGGATTGTAGGAGAATGTCTGAGAACTGATCAGTTGTGTAGACCTTGTAGAGAAAATGATTAATGTAGTAATTCTGAACAATGAAAATTGCAGGGAAATCCAATGCTTCATCAATAATTTCTAATTCAGTATACCTAATTAGTGATGGAAGCAGTGATTTTGTTCAAAATTACTACATTAATCCTTTTCTGTACAAGGTCTACACAACTGGTCAGTTCTCAGACATTCTCCTGCAATCCTACACAAAATTCATACAAGTAACATCCACTAAAAGTAAAAGTTTAGCACACCGACACTCTACACCTTCAAAATTTGTGTCACTACCTTATTTATATGTTAATTTTTATTTCCTTTTATTTCGTCATGGCAACGTGACGACAATGAAGTCCACTGCATCAGGAAGTACAAACTCTTCAGTGAAGTGGGGCGTTTGTGGTCTTCAAGTTTGCCGTATACTCCGCTCAAGAAATTCAACATTTCACAGTATATTTCTTCATTCTTTTCCCATAATTTTTTTTCCTTAACTTCAGGTAGGAGAGGTGGATGGACTGAAGGCATTGGCCTGAGAAGGTTCCTTCATTAAAAAAATAAAGCAAAATACAATCAATTTACGGCTGAAGTTCAAATCCAAAGAGCAACACCTGAAAATATATACTATTTAGACTTTCATTCATATATCCAACAGAATTCATTCATTTGTTTAAATTCATTAATTAAGCTAATTACAAATCAGTAACTTTACCATTCAAATCCAAACCAAACCAGAAAAGTAAAGCACCTCAGAAAATATATACTTATACCCAAATTGCCGTCAAAAGTGAGCAGATCTAGAGCAACACCTGAAAATATATACTATTTATATCTTCATTCATATATCCAGCAGAATTCATTCATTTGTTTAAATTCATTAATTTAGAACACATTACTGATTGGTCAAGT